CTGGCCCCGATCCCAACCTCAAACCGACACCTAACACTATTTTGAGACTCGACCTCGACCTCAAGACCTGACTCGAGACCTAACCTCAACCCTAAAACCTGACCCGACCCCGACTAGAGACTTGATATACAACCCTAATTCTCACTCGAGACCTAACCCTTACTCGAGACCCAAGACTTGACCCCAACTCCAACCTAAGACCCGACCCTGACACTTACCTAGATCCAAGACAACAACTCGACCTCAACCACAACCCCGACTCATGACCAAGTTCCTAACATCCAAATCAAGACTTGACTTTTGAATTGGGACCCAATCCAGAACCCCGACTAGATACCCAATTGTCGAACCTTAATCCAATTTCAACATTGACACTCATTTTTTTATGTTTAAACCTTAATCCAACACTGACACCTGAATCTAGACCTAATACTAAAATAAAACTCAATTTCAAATTGAGACCCGACCTTGACACCGACATGGGATCCAACTTTTGAAATAGGATTCGACCTTGACATTAGGTCATAATATCCAAACCTAATTCAGAACTCAAACCTGAGATCTAAAATAATGTAATGACCCGGGAGTACCCCGTAGAATTTACACGACGTACTAGACCCCAAAGGGATCTAGTACAAGCCCTTAGTATGTATCATTGCATACGTCATAGAATAAAAGCGCAAAATTTAAAACTTTTTCTTCAACATTCGAAGTCACTTTTTACAAAAATAGAAAAGAGTCTAAACATTGTCTCATTGGCCATCTATACAATCGAATACTTAGACATCTAGGGATACAACCCTTACATAGTTCTAAAATGAAACTAATAAAAGAATCTACTAAGATATCTACTAAGTAAGATGTTGGTCCTCGAACTTGAGGACTCATCAACTAGCTTGGAGGATCACCTATTCCAAGCCCTTTGAACCAAAACTACTATCTCCATGAACCAACCCCCTACATTGTAGAAATCATAGAAATATGGATTAGCACAAAAATGTACCAAGTATGGTAGCCATGTCACAAAACCATTAAAACATGCATGAAAAAGGGACATTTCATTTGAAATCATGCTTTATGCCATTTTTGAACATCATCTTTGAAATAGTTGGAGAATGCAACCAATAAGACAACTCACATACATTTCATTATAACCTGAGAGATATCATTATAACAACAAGCATAGTCTCCAATATCAATATAATACACATCCCAATCTTCACAACACATAGCCTCCAATTATACAATAATACACGGTTAAATACCAAGACCATCACATCATGAAGTAATCATCACATAACCAACCCTAAAACACACTGGTGCAATGTGTGGTAACTAACATGTATTTACAATATACAACACAAATCCAATATCACATTCATACTCATTTCATGGTAAAGCCATTACCTTAGTAACCTCTAAGGAACACTTGTGCAATGTGGGGTTAGCATCCCATAATACCAACCCTACTAAGTACTCCTTTGAAGCTACTTTAGTGATGCATTACATCTTTTGACTTCATTATATGCAATATTCACAATCAAGGAAATAGTCATGTACATTACTTGAATACAAGGAAGGTCATGCATAACAACTATCCATTCAATATACATACATGCATTCAAATCTCATCATAATGCAAAGGAACCATCCCATGAGATCCTACTAAGTCTACTTGTGCAATGTGGAAGTGAGGTCTCATACTCCCACTCCTACTAAGTAAACTCACCAAGAAGTCATAGTATAATTTATGCTTCATTCATTAACTTCATTATTATAGGGAAAAGTTGTCATAACCGACATAGACCATGTGAGCTACATGGAATCCGATGTCATATAACCCCACACCAAAAGAAGACGTTCTTACTTGCCGAAGGTAGAACTAATTATATTTAGCTTCTAAGTGGATCCACTAGCTAAGTCATATGTTTGGCACATAGTTATGGGAAAGGAAGATTGCTACTAGAAATCCAACCTATTGCATTACTTGAGGAGCTTCCATCTCATGAGTTTACTATATATGACCCAACCTATTGCATTAGTGGAGAAACCTTTTCCTCATTGTCCATATCCACTCGGTACTAAGCATTATTTCCCAATTATACATAATTAGTATGGAATTGTATCTATATGTGTGAAGGTATACTTTACCCTTCGTTCAATACAGCTGACTAAATAGCTCATAGATTCATTTAAAGGTGAGAACTAACTTTCAACCTTAAAATCATCATTTGTATGTGAGTATAACTTTCACACCAAGATGATGTGTTCTCATGAGAATGGACTTTCAATCAAGACAATAGGATCATCATGGTCATGTACATTTCATGCATAATAATGAGTAAAAGTGCACATGAGAACTATACTTTCAATTAACACCATTGATACATCATATTCATGTTTGTGCATGGAGTGTATGTGCATGATTGTCCTCACAGCAGCACAACAACAACAACATTAACATCATAGACACCTCCCTTCTCAAGGGGTCACAACCTGTACATAATATCCCAACTCATGCACGATTCACATATATTGCATTCAGGGATTTTAGACCATGTAAATCAACATATCTAATATTCATTACAATAGACATGGATACATTCATCATAGCAACACCATCATGATCATAACATAACATTCGTATTTATATCGTATCATACTTAGTCATATCTAGGGTTGTAGGGGAGAGGGACCTTATCTCAACACTACAATACATATGGCAAGTAAGCACCTCTACCATAAGTCGATCAACAATTCATAGTTAGAATACTTGATAAGTAAACACCCCCACCATAAGTGGATCAATTCATTCATATATAATAACTTCACATGACATACCTTCATAGATGTCCCTTCAAGGACAAGAGTCAATATCAAGTCTAACATCTTAGATATGGCACAATAGATAGAAGAACATCATAATCCAACAACATAACCAATATGATCATATTCAAGGTAATTCATATCTACAATATTCTATCATATTCCATTCATGTCTAGGTGATCCAAACTAAGGCCATTCATCAAGAAATTCATCAACCCTATAAGATCACATCTAACCCCTCAATTTGCCTCTTTCATGATATAACCCTAGACCAAGTCAATTTCATCTTAGATTCATAGGGTAATCAAGAATACATGTAGAACTATACTTAGATAATGTAATTACATCATAAACAACTCTAATTCAATCAATTGAATCAACTTCTAACATCATTCATTGTGTAGAGAAAAGCCATAGCTAGGGTTTGGGGAAAACTTGTGGATTCTTTAGATTTGAAGTTAAAACCATCTAAAATCAGTAGTATTACCAATAGTAAACATAGTTCAATCTTTAAGAACAACTTAGAAAGGAATCCATGGGGTTGAGTTGAAACTCTAGCTTTTGAAGATTTCTAGAATTTAATTAAAAGCTTTTAAGAGGGCTCCAAAGGTGATAGCTACCCATGGATGAAAACCAACATACCTTAGGTGTAGAAACCCACGAAAATACTAAGAGAAAACCTCCATCTTCAAGCCCCTAGGTTGGTTTCTTCATTGGTCTTCAATGGTGATCTTAGAGAGAAGACTTTGGGAGAGAAAGGGAATAGGGTTTTGATTTGGGGGTCTTAAGTTGAAGTGAATTAATGAATTAGTTTAGGGTCCTATAAGTTTATATAAGTCATTAATTAGCCACCTAACCTACCTCCCTTAACCCCCACTTAATTAACTAATTAAAACACTAATCCTCAATTTAACAGAAAAACTATCAAAACAGTCCAACATATGCCTAGCCTTCCATGGAACGTGGATCAATCCACTGGCCGTAGTTGGCTTCCGTGGTTTGGGACTGTGGCTCTAAATGTTGCAGGCTTCAAGGAAAACTAAGTATGGACCTACGCCCTTCATCCACAGACCGTGGTCTAGTCTACGGGACGTAGAAAGCATTTGTAGGTCACCACTTAGGTCATCAAACCTTGTTGTCTAGGTAGCTTTAGGGGACTGTTTTAGGGTCCTCCTCAAGGACTCCTCGAGTGGTCTTTGGGGAGTTGTACTCAGACGTTTAACCTAAAAATGTTGTTCTAAGTATGAGAGTCACTTCTACAAGTTTTCACCTTCATACAACACTCCAAACTTCAACGACAAGGCTCATAGAACTCACTAGTTGAAATTACTAATTTTCGGACGTTATAGTCGTTTCTTGACGTTTGATCTCTAAACTCCTAAATCTAAACTTGAAAATCCATATTACAACATTTAATCAAATTTACATCTTCAACTCACATGTGAGGTTCTAGTCTCACCTATTAGATTACGTCAAGCTTCCGTTAGGTCTTACTAGTTTCTACGGGGTGTTACAAATAAGATCCAACCTCGAGTCTCAACCCAAACCTCGACTCTGACACCGACACAAAACCTCATCCTAACACTTGGTTTGGGATCCGACCTCAAATTCAACCTCTAATCCTAACACAAGATCTGATCCTGACTTAATTAGAACTCAGGAGTTGGGTCTCGAATTGAGGTCGAGAGTCGAGTTGAGAATCGAGAATCATGAGTCAGATTTAGGATTAGTATTAAGAATCGATATGTAAGACTTAAGTTAGTATGGAAAGTTGAGGTTTGAGGTTCAATGATTTTGGGAAATGTTTTCCTTAACTTTTTTAAGGAAAGTCATTTTACTTAAGTTTTAGGAAAATAAATTGATTTGAAAAATATTTTCCAAAACAATTAAGACAACCAAACGTGAGAAAATTAGAAAACATTTTCCTTCATACCAAACACACCCATAGAAACCTATAAAATAGACTAAGAAGATACTTTAACAAGTTAAATTACTGTCAGGTTGTTATAGATTCAACTCAACCGAAAAGGCTAGTCTATTAGGTGGGAGAGACCATTCAAGCTTACCAACCCCTTAGTATTTTCTCTTTCAAATTATAGAGACACAATTGACACACAATAATTGTCTTTGCTTGGTAATTCGCTCTTGAGCAAACCTTAAGGCTACCAGAAATATGGTGAAGAGAGAAGATTACACCAAGGAAGGGACCAGAAGAATCAACATCAAAGAATCTAGCGAGCCAGCAAGAAGGCAAGCCAAGATTTCAACAACATAACCGACAAAGGGACAAGTTCTACAATTATGAAAAGATAGGTTACTACACTAGAGATTTTTGTTACGAGAAAGATGAAGGTGACTCATCCACTTTTACTCAAAACTAGAAAGACAATGAAAAACAAGCTTGGGATTTTGAGACCTTCAGTAGAAGAAAGCAATAATCAACAATAAGAGATTGTCACATCTCGCTCTGACAAAGGGGAAGAGCTTGCATATGCAACTGTAAGTGAGAAATTGCTTGACTATGCAAAGTGATTCGGGATGCTCCAATCACATGACCAACGATGTGAAAAAACTTATCAACATGAGTGAGGATAAAGGCAGTTGAATAGTGGTGACAACGAATAATTCTAGAATGTCAATAACTCATATTGGCAAGATAGTGTTTATGCCTCATCATAATTCATGACAAGTGAAACTAAAATGTCTACCATTTTTCGTGTTTGAGGAAGAACTTATTATCTATGTGCAACTAACAACCTTAGGAAGCTGTGTTTTGTTTGTACCAAATGACGTAAAAATATATTGAAATTTGAAAAAAAATTACAAGCTTTCCAATCATGGAGGTAAAGAGATTAGAGTCAATATATGTTATGGTAGCCAAAATAACTTATGTGAAGAATACTCAGAGTAATCATGAGACAAATGGTCTATGGAGTCCACGTCTTGGGTACCTAAGATGCAACAAATGAAAAATCATGATGCTACAGTCAAAATTAAAAGGTCTTTCCCAGACTGAGATTATAGGAGACAATATATGTGTTGTATGCTAATATGAAAAAGCATATCAACTTTCATGTGGAGTATCAAAGTATCAAGACAATAAGCCACTAGAGTTGGTGCACTTAGACATGTTTGAACCAGTAAAGCAACCTTCTATTAGTAGTTACTCATACATGGTAACATTCATTGATGACTTCTCAAGGTAGTGTGGATTTAATTCTTAAATGAAAAGTCTATAGTATTTGAGAAGTTTAATTAAAGAGTTCCAACCTATTGTGGAGAATGATATTGGAAGGAGAACCAAATGTCTTTGTATGGACAATGGGGGAGAACATGTCATGTGATTTCAATGACTACCTAAACAGAAGATAATAAGGTGACAATTGACTTTCCCAAATATGTAACAACAAAATGGAGTAGCCGAAAAAGAAAATATAAACACATGTTACAAATATGCAGAAGTATGATGCATACTATGTATGTAGCAACAAGATTTTGGGGAAATGCATGAAGTATGTTGTCCATATCACGAAAAGGATGCCACAAGCAAGATTGGGATTTATCTCACCATTAGAGAAACTCAATAATACAATACCTAATTTAAGTCACTTGTGAGAGATGAGATGTGAGTCCTCTATGCTTGTTCTAGATCATCTTTACCGTAAGTTGGATAAAAATATTGTTCGTTGCATCTTTACTAGTTACGATGAACAAATAAAGGGATGAAGTTGTTGTGGTCCTACTACTAGTCGGATGTAAGTGTCAAGAAATGTGGAATTTGATGAAGCATCAACATGGTGGTCCAAGAAATCTCCATACTAGAATTGACAGCACTTGAGCAAAAGCTGCAAGATAAGCTCAAAGAAGAAAAATGAGGAAACAAGATAGAAACTAACCAAGAGGCAAAAAAAACCCCAAATCACCAACATATCTCCATAAAAAATAGTTAATGGCAAACTGGAACTTGTGAAACTCCTTTCATATTGCAAGAAGAAGTCAAAGAAGAACCACAACCATAACTAAGGAGGTCTACATGACTGAAACGCCCAAACACCAAGTAGATAGATGCAACTTTAGTAAAGGTAGTCCAAATCAAGGAGATTACAACCTTGAAGATTCTTCAAAGATTAGTAAGAAGAGAAGTTCAAAGGAAGAAGAGGTTCATAATGTATCACTCAAAATGGATGCAAAGAATGAATTAAGTTAGTGTTGAGGAACTAAATTAAAACCTAAGATATTTCAAAGAGAATCTAGGATATTCAAGACTTGTAGTGAACTGAAGGAAGAACTCTAGAATGAGAGTTACGTTCTTTAGTGCAAGTCTAAAAACATGCCAGAAATAAGTGGAAGTTATAGTTCTAGAATACTACATTCACTAAATCCTTTCATCATAACCTATAAATTGAGGTGGTTAGAGTTTTATGTGTACTCATATAATGAGTGTGTGCTCAAGAAAGAAGTAATAAAAATGTGTACTACTCAAGAAAATACTAAATGCAAAAGAAAAATTTAGTTGCAAGACCGAAGTTGGTCCTGACTTCGCAAAAATAAAATTCAAGTTGTGAGCAACCAATTATGCCTAACAATTCCCAATGGACACTTCTTTTGGATCGAAATCACCATTATTGGTTGGTCACATCTAGCACCCCCACCTTGGTCCAAGCCATCACTATTGTCTCCACCAAGCCATTACTTTGAGTTACCGCCTCAAGCATTAATCAACCTGCTCATTATAGACTAATTAGATGGCCCAACCTTTGAAAAAAGTCTATTAGGTGAGATAGCCCACTCAAGCCTATAAACCCCTTAATATTTTTCTTATTAATCTTGAGGGTCAATTAGCACAAAACAAAGATGGTAAAGATTCCTCTGCAGCTAAGAAAAGTTGGTCCGTGCCCTTTAAAGGAGGCACCTTAATAGGAAGCTCTTAATTCCCCCCCACCAATAGTAGTCTTTATAATATGGGAACTCAGACAGAGAATAGGTTCTTAACAACACTAAGTTGATTGCAAAAAGAAAAATCTTCTATAACAAGTTAAATTGCATAGATAGTAATATAGATAACTCAATCTTTTAAATTTATTGGTTTTTAGTTCAACCATATGGTACCCAAAGCCCACTAATTCAAATTCGAATTTGTAACCTATTAAGGAGATAAAGCCCTACATATCATTAAGTTTTTTTAAAAAGAATTATCTTTACAAATGTTTCTGACAATACTTTTTGCAGATTCTCAGAAGTGGCATATCTTGGCTTTCCATATTGGTTGGATATTTGTGGAAGAATAGGAACAAACGTATTGTCACCAAACACATATTATGTTGCTTATTTGGTGTTCAAAGTGGTAGATTTGTACCGTAGACTTGAATCTATTGATTCACCTATTATGTTAGTTAGTGATAAGAATGAAACTGTGACTGAAGAACAAACCAACATTGTGAGGCTTGCAGCATTATTTCCCAAACTGAGAGGAGATGGTTGGATGGAAATAGAATTGGGAAATTTTAATAGCAAGGAAAGTAGTGATGGCCCTGTTGTAGATAGATTGATTGGGGTTAAACGTGTTGATTTCAAAATAAGTGGCCTCATCATTGAAGGAATTGAGTTTCGTCCTAAAATAATCGAATAAGTCGTCAGAGGTGGATCTGGAATTTTAAGTTTATAGTTTATGAACTATATTTTAGTTTCTTGGTTTGAGATTGTGGATTCTACAAAAGCATTAACTTTATTATGGCTTTGAAGTGTATTTTAGTTTGCTCTGACATTATGGTCATTTAAAAAAAAACTCTAAGACTTCTTTAGTGATTTATGTTTCCGTTGTTTCCAAATTTAGCATTATATAAACTTTTTCAATATATATGTATTTGATGGATCCTACTAAATCCGTAACTTTATTATGGCTTCTCCCCCCCCCCCCTCCTGCAAAGTTGTGATAAAGAAATTGAAGTGCATTCAAGCTGGCTCGGACATAGTAAAAAAACTTCACTTTGTAAGTGAATTTATGGTTCACTAATTTCCAACGGTAGCATTATGAAGCGAGCACATTGTTGCGCTCAATCGCACACGCAAGTGTATGTGGTCGTTAAAGTATTAAAGTGGCTCTTTTTAAGAGTTGGGTATCGTACCCACAGGGACTCAAGATTAGATTAAGTCGATCTTTCCAATACTTTCAATTCAAAACAAGTGTTATCAAGAACAATGAAGTGAATGTTTCTCTAATCTAAAATCTAATTAAAAACTTAACTAATGCGATTCAATTTCAAAAGGTTAAACAATGATTAGGTAAAGTCCAGGGTTGCAGCTTACTTCAGGATTTATGCATATTATCTTGTAAAATGGATATTACTTAACTATCGAATCAATGATCACATGGTTAATTATATGATTATGGTCTCTCGACCTCTAATCACCTATGATAATTGGAAGCCTAACTACATCGTTGAGCGGGGATAGGCTGGACCAATTACCGAGCATTATGATTTTGTCTTGTCTAATAACCAAGCACGGTCTCTAGGTATATCCCTATCCTAGATACAAATTAACTCTAATTCATAAGAGAAAATCATGCTCCTCATGCCCCACTTTCTATCCTCTTATTCCTCACCCGAGTTCAATTCAGACAAGATGTTTATTTCAGTGGTGATCAAGCACGAAATATGAAAACAAGAACACAAGATTGATTCACTTCAATCCATAAAACTTCAATAAAGTACAATCATCCAGTAGCCACAGCCCTAAAACTAGGGAAATTAGCTAATCATATCAAGAATCTCAATTATGCAATGTTTAAATAACATAAAGAGATCGAACATAAAAGAGCTTAGGAATGAACCCTAAGAACAGATGGAAAAGCTCCCAAAGTCGTCGTTCTTTAAAACCCAGAAAAAGAATAAAAATAAAATAAAAATCTAAGTCTATTTATATTTTGTTGACTTCGGCCAAATCTGGCAGTGAGGTCCTCGATGCAGAGTGATTTCTCAAATCCAGTTCTTGGCAATCATCTCTTCTCCGCGATGCGTGCACAATACAAATTGTTTTGTCTCCAATTCTAATTCGCGAACAAATAATAAAATCCCTCTCCACGACGCGGAGGGGATACAGATAAGCCTTGTTCTTCATTTTTCGTTCTCCTTTCTTGGCGCTCTTTTACTTGGATCCTCTCGTGCTTTCCGATGTCGGTTTCAGCGCTCGTTTCTTCATTTAACCTCACTTACACAACTAATCATGTTGGTTAGTCTAAATGAATTCATATGACTCGACACTACTATTAATTAGTAACAAATAATTCTGAACTTGGACGAAATTTTGGTTCTTAAGCATGCAAATACGCCCAAGATCACACATCCCAATAATCTTTGTATTACGAGGATTCATACCTGAACCCTCCTTTATTCGAGCTTGAAACTGGCCAGCCAAGACAAGGACTCTAAAAAAAAGTATAAATTGAATGTATATATAATGTTTAGTGCTTACAATTTTTATACTTTAGCGATAAACCCATTATGACCAAAAAAATATATATTTAATTGTAAATATCAGTGTTTATATCAAATCGACTATTATAGCTATTTCCTTGCGGCAAAATGTTCTGAATTCCAACAAGGGAATCTAACAAATTAATAAAACCAATAACATATTTGAGCCAATCAAGCCGTCCTTTTTAGGGAAACGATGAATCAACATCAAGTACATACATGTAAATTTAACAAGCTAATATATATGATGCAAACTTCGGAAATAAAGGCAACATAAATCACTTATAAAGTCTAGGGATTTTCTCTAATGACCATAATGTCTGAGCCAAAGTGAACGCACTTCAACTACCTTATCACAACTTCCACGGGTGGAGCCATAATAGAGTTATGGGTTCGACATACAGATACATGTAAACTAAACAAATTAATAGTATATTAAATCATCAAATCTAACTTTAGAAGTAAGAAAAACATAAATCGCTAATAAAGTCTAGAGTTTTTTTTTAACTATTATTATGTTCAAACCAATTTCAAGGCAATTCAACTATGTTATTACAACTTTGGGGACGAAACCACAATAGAGTTACGGGTTCAATTGAACCCAACAAATACATGTAAACCAAACAAGAAAATTAAATATAATGCTAAATTTGGAAACAAGAGCAACATAAATCACTTATAAAGTCTAGAGTTTTTTTTTTGAATGACAATAATGTCAAAGATAACTTGAGCTCACTTTAAAGCCATAATAGAGTTAGAGCTTTGGTGGAATCCAACAACTTCGGCTCAAATTCTGCATTTATATTAACAAATTCAGTTAATAAGTATAAATAATGTATCTCAAACCAAGAAAGCAAAAATAATAGTTCATAACCCCATAAAACTTAAAATCTCAGATCATGTGTCTACAAGCACACACTCCTTACATGAGTAGACATACCACTCAAATGACCACCTCTATTTATAGGTGTTGGTTGAAGAATCTATTCAAAGAATGTTCTAGAAATACACCTTCCACTTATTTCTAGAATGCTTTTAGACTTTGTACTGTAGAGCTCTCATTTTTGCGTTCTTCCTTCAATTCTTCATAAGTACTTGAATCTTCTACATTCTTCTTTTAAATAACATAGATATTAATTGAGTTGGTGATGACATTTTAATACTCCCCTTCAGCACCAACTTAATTTATTCTTTGCATTCATTTTGAGCGATCCACGAGATTTCGCAATCATTTTGATGTCCAGGCTTATTATGAACCTCTTCCTCACTTAAACTACTCCACTCATTACTCTTTGAATCTTCTTTAAAGGTGGTACTCACCTTTGCAAATTCCGCATCCATATACTTGGTGTTTGGATATTTCAGTCATAAAGATTGTTAGGACCGAAATAATTAGGTGTCATGCGAAAGCTAACAAAGCAAACCTCGAAAGACCATGAATAAGAAGACAAATGAGAAATATACTAAAAGACACAAAGATCTAACATTCCTACATCCACAAAAGAGATGAGTAATTCATAAAAATGAGAGTACAAAATATAGAGAGAAACAACCTCACCCAATTCACTCGGAATATAAAGAGGTTCACACGAGTAATAACTTGTGTCCCACAAATTCCCTCGTAAACAAAACTCTCAAAGCCCCTATGACTACATTGTGAATGTTGATTAAATTAGAAGGAATGAGCCTCTATTTATAGATCCTAAACATTTTCATACAAGAAAAGGACTAACCAAATATGGAGACTTTATGTTTTCTTTTTAGGAAAAGAAAAACCTATTTATAGTAAGAAACTCAGGGCAAATACCTATTATGCATCCATATACTTGGTGTTTGGACATTTCAGTCATAAAGACCTCCTTATTGTGGTCGTGGTGCTTCTTGGACTTCTTATTGTAATGCGTCGGGAGTTTCAAAGTGACTTACAGTAGATACTTCTGGTGCAAGTGATTGAGATTTTCCAGTTGCCTGTTGGTTAATTTTTATTTTGTTTCCCTGTTCTTTTTCTTTGAGCTATTCTTGCAGCTTTTGCTCAAGTACTATTGAGTCTGGTAGGAAACTTCTTTGAAATGTCATGGTGATGCTTCATCAAATACTATATGTTCGATGAGTGGTTGAGTCTCAACACCTTCATCCTTTTCTTTGTTCGTCTAAAGATGCAACAAACAGTCTTTTAATCAAATCGACAAAAGGATAAAGATTTGAAGAGTTCTGGACAAACACAACTGCTACATCAGTTGTTTAGCAACTGTTCCCTTGATTTGCTACAGCAATTGGTCTAGCAGTTATTATTCCTAGTTGTAGTTTATGGTGTCAGTCTTATCCTATTGCGTTCTGTATAAATATGTAATTAGGATTAGTTATTTGGGATATGTACTTAAGAATTAAAACTACTGTATTCTGAAGTCTTGTCCTCTCCATACGGACAACTATGGCTGGCAAAGGGACCGGAACCGGGACTACCGAACCGGGACGGACCGGAACCGGGACTACCGGACCGGGACGGACCGGAACCGGAACAGAACCGGGCACCACTAGCCGGAACCGGTAATTCCGGAAAAAAATCCGTGTACCCGTCCCGGACCGGACCGGAAATCGGGTCCAACTGTTATAAATTATAATTTTTTATTAAAATTAAAAAGTTAGGAACATTACACTTAAAATTTTATACTTTTAAAGTTTTAAATACAAACTTTCAAACTTTTAAAAGTATAAAAGTTTAAATTTCACAATTTAAAACTTTGAAAATTTAAATTCAAACTTTAAAACTATAAAACTATAAAAGTTTGAAAATTTAAATTCAAACTTTAAAACTATAAAAGTTTAAATTTCACCCTTTAAAAGTATGAAAATTTAAATTCAAAGTTCAAACTTTAAAACTATAAAAGTTTAAATTTCACTCTTTAAAAGTTTGAAAATTTAAATTCAAAGTTCAAACTTTAAAACTATAAAAAGTTTAAAATTTCACACTTTAAAAGTTTGAAAATTTAAATTTAAATTTCAAACTTTAAAACTATAAAACTATAAAAGTTTAAATTTCACACTTTAAATTTTAAAAGTTTGAAAATTTAAATTCAAACTTTAAAACTATAAAAGTTTAAATTTCACACTTTAAAAGTTTGAAAATTTAAATTCAAACTTTAAAACTATAAAAGTTTAAATTTCACACTTTAAAAGTTTGAAAATTTAAAACTTTAAAACTATAAAAGTTTAAATTTCACACTTTAAAAGTTTGAAAATTTAAATTCAAACTTTAAAACTATAAAAGTTTAAATTTCACACTTTAAAAGTTTGAAAATTTAAAACTTTAAAACTATAAAAGTTTAAATTTCACACTTTAAAAGTTAAATTTGAACTTTTGACGACAATAAATAAAAAAAATTAAGGCGAATAGCCTATACTTTTATTAGTATTAATTAAATAGTACAAGTTGAGTTACAAAATATTAGTAGAGTATTAAAAAATCTAATCTACACAGCCACCTTCTAGGAAGGGTTCTGTTTGAATTAGACCTCGAATTATTAGACTCATACTAATAGACATTTAAATTTAATAGTTCATGCTACCAAGAAAATCTTTTTTTAAATCATTTAACATTTCTCCAGTAACATGCTCTGGAATTGGTTGATTAGCTAGTTTTTCCATTGCATCAATGTCGTCATCACTAAAATCTTGCATTATTTCATCAACGTCATTTTCAAATTTGGTCGGTAAAGGTGGACGACCATAACTCCTTCTCTCGCCATTAATCCAATCTCTAAATAGTACGGATATCTCCAAGCTATCTGCTGCTAATGAATATCTATGCTCTCCAATTTGAAATGTTGTTGCACTAAAAGCGCCTTCCGAAGCTACTGAAGATGCTTGAATAGCTAACACATCTCGAGCAACCGGTTGTAGTTTTGGAAATCCTTGGCCGCGATTGCTCCACCATTCTAGAAGATCAATATTAGTAGGTTCTATATTTTGATTAATATATGCATCAAAATCATTTCTATCATTATGAGAAAGTTCAATAATACAATCTATCATATCATCAAAATCATCTTCATTATTATATCTACTCCTAGAACTTTGAGGCTCTTCGTTATGTACTACATTCTTTATATTAGAATTATACAAGTCGTACAATTTTCTAGCTTCAATTTTTATACTATCTTTAACATCTTGACAACTAGGTGTTTCATCATCTTCACTATCAATACCCAAATTAAAATATATTTTATCAACCATTCGTGATGCACCTTCATCTTTGTAATGTGGGTTTAACAAACAAGCAGTTAAATAAATTTGAGGAATAGGAATAAAATATTTTTTAAATTTTTCAATCATTTTCTTAACAGATTCTTCAAATCTTGGTTTATTTTTTAATTTATAAAATTTACTAGAAATAGCACAAATATTAGGTAAAACAGAGCAAATAGTTGGATAATAAAGTGCAGATATTTTTTTGTAGTTAAATAAAAAACTTTTAAGAATTCTATAAGTTCTTTTATGTCATTCCAATCATTATCATCAAGTCTATATGTCATATTTGAATTATGAACATTCCAAACCATTTGTAAAGGTTTTCTATATTCATAAGCAACTTCAAGCATTTCAAATAAAGAATTACATCTAGTACACACTGATTTTGGAATTTTTCTAGGTGGAAGATTAAATTCACGACAACGATTTTCAAAATCTCTACGTCTAGACTTAACTTGACATTTAAAAATAAAATGACATGCAGTTTCAACTTTTGTGCAACCATCATCATACATTTCTATACCATCTCTAACAATCAAATTATATATGTGTGCAGCACACCTAATATGAAAACCATCAATATAAATAGGGCAAAGAGACGGTTTTAGTATTTCAACAGCAGTTCTATTATTAGAAGCATTATCTAATGTGACACTACTTATTTTATCACAAATTCCATAGTTTTGTAAAACATCTATAATTGTATGAGCTATATAACTACCGGTTTTATGCATTTCACAACATTTATAACCTAAAATTCTTTTTTTGCAAAGTCCAATTTTCATCAATCCAATGCACAGTAATAGTGAAATAATCATTACCATTTACACTACGGCCCATATCAGAAGTAATAGCTATTTTACAATTGTTATAATAAAATAAACAACGAAGATATTGAAAATGTTGAGCTTGATAATCAAAGATAGCCTTTTTAATTATATTTCTAGTAAAACCTTTAAAATGTGGATTATACACAATTTGAATATAATGAATAAAACCGGGATTTTCAGCAAAACTAAATGGCAAACCCATAACAACAATCATTTTAGCTAATTCTTCAAGATATTTTTCTCTACTATATGATCGTTGTATACTAGAACCAAAAACATTAGAAGGATTTAATTGTGTTTGGACCATATTAGAGCCCTCTACTCCTACATTTTCAGGAAGGGTGGTACCATTTTTTTTAGCTTCGGCTGCAGCTTTAGCATGCAAAAATTCATTTTTACAACATGACATTAAATGATTACTCAAATGTCCCGTCCCACCCTGTTTTCCTACAGTTTTATGATTCATTCTATGTTTACATTTATTACAAATACCTTGTGTTTTATCTTCATTCTGAGTCATAAATTGCCACACAACTGATTTTTTAGCGCGTTCTACCTTAGTCCTAGGATGCACGGGGGGAACAGGAGCAGGACAACGAAAGAGAGCGGGAGCCGGGGAAGAGGGATTGGGAGTGGGACTAGTAGCCAACGGTGGCTCAGTTTCATCATCATCATATTCATCAACAATATTATCAAAACTATCAACATAAGCATTAACATCATCATGTTCATCATCTTCATGTAATTCCTCTTCAAAATTACCAAATCTTCTTTGTAAATGTTCATGATAAGGATCTAATCCACTATTACTATCAATATTAAAAACAGTTTCATCAACATGCGAATAATCATCCGTATTTATTCTTAATTGAGAAGTTTTTTTAGTTTTAGATTGAGAAGTACTACCGGTTTTTTTATTTTTCTTGGATTTTGAGCTAGATAAATTAGTGAACGAATTAACTATGGTTGTTTTACCCTTTTCAATAATGTTTTTTCCGAAATCCATATTCAAATATAAAAAGTGAGTAAATTATATATAATACGAAAATGATTAGCAAAGTTTTAAACAAATAAACAACTAAATAAGTAGAGACTAGAGATTAATTACTCACAAAATAAATAATTAAATGCAAACAAATAAATAACTAAATGAAAAGTGAGTTGGAACGAATGTACCAAAAAGTAGACGTTGTATGACTAGAAGGCGGAAGCCAAAAATTGAAAGTTGAATTTTGAAGCTCCAATTTCCAAAGACCAAATTCGTAATTTTAACGAGAATAAGAGAATTTAGAGAGTAGAGAGTAGAGAGATTAGAAGATATTTTTGTGAGTGAAAAGAATGAAAGATTAGGGGTATTTATAGTTTAAAAAAAAAGGATGAAAATGTAGTTTTAAGAAGGTTGGGGTATTAAAAAAAGTTTGGGGGGTAGGGAGGTGTAAATAGGAGTTATGGGGGTGAAAGAGCCGTGGTGGGGCCCAAAACCCGTTGCCCAACGGCTATAAATTTTGAAATTTCAGATTTAAAATAAAATAAAATGTTCCGAACCGGACCGGAACCGGGACTAACCGGACCGGGATGGACCGGTAAATCCCGATTTCCGTCCCGTTACCCCTCCCGGACTGGCACAATACCGGAGGGAACCGGTACTATCCGGAACCAGTACCGGTACCTCCCGGTTCCGTTGCCAGCCTTACGAACAACTTTATTGGTATAATTGTGTTTAAGAGTCTTGAACAAACTATTGCCAGTAAATTTACTTGGTTTGTTCTATTTCTTCGGTTCTCTCCTTCCAATTACTATCAAACACATAGCTCACACATATAAATACTCGAAAGTGACTTACAATAGGTATCATCTTCTTGAGTTTATCGAATGGTGAGATGAATCCCAATCTTGCCTATTGCAGCCTGTTTGTGTTGTGGACAACGGTTGTCCATTCTGCCCAAAATTTTATTGATACATTCATACACATACTTCTACATATCTCAGCCAATTGTCTATTTTTTCTTTCAGTTACTCCATTTTGTTGTCGCATACTTGGGCAAGTCAAATGTCGCATTATCATCCTCTCTTAAGGTAGTTATTGAACCCATGTGATATGTACTCTCCCCCATTGTTCTTACATTGATTCTCTTTCTAATATCATTTTCCACAATATGTTGGAACTCTTTAAACTTTTTAAATACATCAGAATTCTTTAAGAAGTATTCTGTAAATCCATTCCTTGAGAAGTCATTAATGAATGTTACCATGTATCAACCACTGATATAAGGTTGTTTTACTGGTTCAAACACGTCATTAAAAGAATCCAAGCAACATGATCTTTCATTATTGGTAGCAAAAGCAGAAGATGAGAAAATTCATGAAAATCAATAATAACTGTTGACACAATATTATCTAAGTTTTTATCAATCATTTCATCATTAATAATACATGCATTCCTAGTAATTCAAATGAATATATTGAGAAAAATTATTTTTTTTTCTTTGCAGATTTTCAGAAGTGGCTAATATCCAGGGTTCTTGCTCACTAAATATCCATGGAAAGATTGCTAGTCAAATGTTGTCAAAGAGAACAACATACGCCGTGTATCTACTGTACAAATTAGCTCCAAGTTCATATTCTGGTCTTGTAATTAGTAATTCAGTTGTTAGATTTGTTAATCGTGAGACTGAGGAACCACGAAGAGTCGGGAGAATTAGTTGGCCTAATGCTCAAAGAAGAGTTGATAGATGGATGGAGATAGAAATGGGGAAGTTTTTCAATGATGCAGGGGAGAACGGAGATGTTGAAGCGCGATTAATGGAGATCAGGTGTCACTTTGGGATAGACAACCTCTTTGTTGAAGGAATAGAGTTTCGAGCAGAATGAAGAAGAAGAATTCCTTTTACTACGCGGAGACACAAGTCTCTCCCTCTCTCTCTCTTTTGGACTATGTTGCAGGACTCATATCAGATCCTCCAAAAATGTACTATTTTGAACAATTCGTCATACACCTGGCGACATTTTGTATTTCTAAGTTGTTAAGAAAAGGTTTGGATTTTTGGTATTTGAGAAACTTTTCTGAAGTTTGGTTGACTAATTGGTTTTGGCTGTCCATCAAAGAAGTTTCAAAAACTTGTAGTCTTTATTTTATTTCTATATAAACATTACATAAATTCAACAACTTTAATTTGTTGATTTTTCCTATGGACTATTTCCGATTTCTCCCTCAAGGTTGAATATCGGAAATTATCTCCTTAATATCACCGAAAGGTGCAGTTACGTCTTCATTTATGTCATCGGTTAATAGTGAAAAAGGAATGTATGTCTATGATACTCACATGATTACTTTGCATAAGCTCCATTTTTTTTAATGTTACGAAAGTTACAAATATCTTAGATTTTTTAAAATGTTCTTCCATTCCGGTATTTTAAAAAAATTATTAAAGGATCTTTGTTATTTTAAACATGATGATGAAAGTATATACTTTTTTTGTCGTAGTTACGGTCTCGAAAATCAAAAAAAAATATTCTCTTTGATCATATATTTTTAAAGGCTTTCTAAATTTTTTGAATTGTTAACTAGAGTTATAGTATATTTTTTTATATAGTTTCTGAATATACTTACAGATTGGAATAATATATTAATATTTCTACTGCAATAATAAAAATTAAGGAGAGAAAACAAAACCTACAATATTGCAAACATGAGGAATTATTAATTGTGTACATAAATGATGTTAAAAAATTGGTAAAATTTTGGGGGAGGACCAAAAGTGCATCAATATTGCAAACATGAGGAATTATTAATGCTCCGTGTGAAAATATAACGATGACTTTTGAGTTTTAATCCAAAGATAAGGGATTATTTTAGATTTTTTCCTCTAAGAATTTATTTCTAGAGTACTGGACATCCACACTAGCTAATTGTTTTATACTCTAACACATGTGAACAAAAAAATCATTATTAAAACGAAGAAGGGCCTAAAATGTCCTTCAACTATTTGAATTGATACAAAACTACCATTCATCCATTTTTCGATTTCTAAATATCCTTGACGTTAGCCTTTTAGCTCAAAAATACCCTCAATATAAATTTTTAGCTCATATTTGCCCTTATTTTTAACAACTCTCCTATAGTAAAATTATTAAATATTTATTTATTATGTTGCCTAATTTGATTGGTCCAAATTTAAACTCTTCTATAATAATATATAATAAAAACTACATATGATTCATATTTGGACCTGATACGCTTGATAATAATATTTTACAAAATATAAATTTCGTCTTCCTATTGCATATTTTAAATTAACCCTCAATTTATTACAACTCAATTCATGATTAGGGATCTAATTAAAATTCATACTCACCCCATCAGATCATCAATCTAAAAAGATTATTATATTTTATTTATATAAAATTCTCTATCAATTATCCAATTATCTTATTCATTTCCTCTCTTTTTTTTCTTTTTTTTAAAATCTTATTATTAATTAGATATCAAGGATTAAAACTTGAAATGAACTACATGATCATATTCTTTTAATTTGTATTATTTTCATGGTGGGTGGGGATAGAAAAAAAAGTTATTTGAATTTTGGATACATACAAACGAAAAATTGTAGTATACGTACATAGTTGTTAAATTAAATCATCTTCTATTGAACTAATTATTTATAAAGGAATGTAGTCGTTATTTCTCCTTTTTTTTTCTCCCTTGTTTAATTGTCATTAGTTGAAAAAAAAATTATAATTTAAAATATTGAATAAGATTCGAGAAGAAAAAAAAGTGGAGGAGAGAGGACGTGGGGGGGGGGGGGGGGTTGTAGATAGTAGATGATTTGTCTTTTTTTTCATTTTAAATTTATTATAGAACCCAAAATTAGGTCAATCACATGAGTCCATATATTAAGTAATTTCAAATTATTTTAATAGAGAAGGGTCTAAAATGCTATTAAACTATGCGATTTGGTATAAATTTACCTTCCATCCACCTTATGAGTGTGGACTGTTAGAAATAATGGTTATTTTGAGTCAAAATATTGACGTCAAAGGTATTTGAGGGCTGAAAGATGGATATAGAATAGTTTTGTATCAATTCAAATGGTTGAGGGGCATTTTAGGCCCTTCTTTGTTATTAAAAAATTTCATGTGAACAAAAATTGATTTTAAAAAATAATTTTATAATGGGTGAAAACTATGAAATAACTAAGTAAAGAAGAATAATTAAAATTTAAAATAATTTAAGTATACGCTTAATTGGAGTCGTTAATATGGTCTAGGCTCGATGGGTTGACCTGACCTAACTTGTATTTTAAATAAGGCTGGCTATGATTTTTGGAGCTCATTTAAGAAAAAGGGTGTTTTAGCCTGACCTGGCACGTGAAGCTTGAGCAATATGGGTTGGGCCGGCCCTTGGGCTAATAAAAAAATAGAGTATTAAAAATAACAAAAGTCAAAATTCAAAGGCAATTTAAAGTTTGAAATATTAAAATTTAGAACCATCAAACATGATATAATAATTGTCGTTTGGTAGAGTGTATTGGAGAAAATAATGCTTGCATTAGCTTGATGTATTATTAGTACCTTGTTTGGTACACTTTTCTAACCTATGCATAACCACTGCTTGTATTAGTAATACACTCTATTGTGTATTGAAGAGTGTATTACTAATACCATCTATTTCTATGCATTAGTAATGCAATGGGTTCTAATGCATGCATTAACATTATTAAAGACACAATTGCCCTCAAAAACTTTTTTTACATCCTTTCCATTATATTTGTTGAGGGTATTTTTGTAAACAAATATTTTTTCTAAAAAAACTATGTAATGCAAATATTTTTAGTACACCAAACCAAACATTGTATAAAAAAATCTTATCATAACTAATACAAGCGTTACTAATGCAAGCATTACTAATACACTATATTCTTGGTATTTTTCTTATACACTCTACCAAACGACCAGTATTCTTATCACTACTATATCATCAGAATCATCATTCAGTATTGGTGACGTATTCTCACCAAATATAGATATTGCATCCATCATAAAAATATTCAAACACTTATAGCTACTTGAAACTGGTGGCATGATTTATCAATTAAATTATTTTTTGTGTACATTTAAATACTATACGGTAGTTCTTAAATTTAGTTATTTAGTTATTTTTTATTTTTTAACTAATTGATATTGCATATTAACTGTATATGAAATGAAGATATCTTATTGATATTTATGTTAATATTTTTAAATTATAATTTAATTTTAAATATTATAAAAAATATATATACTTTTAAAATAAGTGGGCTAACCCAGCACAGCCCGCACCCCACATATTGGTGGGCTGGGCTGCCTATTTTCTGGCCCACAAAAAAAAAGTGGATCAACCCTGCCTGACTCGTCAAATTTAAAAATTTGTATGGACTTTTCGAGTGAGGCGGGCCAGCCCATATTGACATATCTACACTTATGAAAAATGTTACGAATTTTTCATTAGAATTCTAGTAATATAATTGTTTTTTAGGGGAAAATTACGTGTATAAGTAAACATATACTAGACATTACTTAACATAGTTATAGTTTGCCTTAATTACAATTCACGACCTATTTTTAGCTATAATTACACTGCTTAGCTTTTTTGTTTTGTATAATTTGAAATTTGTATAACTTTACTATAATTCAAAAATTGTATAATATAATTTGTATAACTGTTTACACTTCTTCAACTATATCCCGTAAATATGCAAACTATAGTTATGGAACATAATTAAATTTATTATAGTGACTATTTGCGAAAATTTCGCTTGTTTGAATAGGAAGAGATTTTTTCCTTTTCCTTTTCTTTGTAGGATTAGGAATTAGGATACTTTCCTTTCCTTTTAGGATTCTACTCGTAAACTCCTTATATATATACCCCAACATAACCTATTCTCAATCATTCATAATATCATTCTTCTTTTTCTCCATCGTCATGACTAGCATGAAAGTTGGAGGAAACACTTTGCCTGTTACTGTGGACGAACATGGTCAAGTCAGGTACGATGTGATTGTCAGACAAGCCGAAAACGCTAAGAAAATTGTATATTGTCACTACAACGATCTTGTTCCCAAGTTTGTTAAGGATCATGACAAAGACTTGAAATTCGATGTGGTACAAGAGAAGAAGAAACTAATCGAGGAGACTACTCGGGAGACCAAGGCTATCCTTCTACAGAAGATTGGTACACAACAATCTTGGGACTCTATGGAGCCACCTAAGTTCATTAAGTACAAGTCTTGTAAGCAGCAGGGTTCAAGGCTTATTAAGATGGTTGAGAAGGCAGTGGACCCTATGGAGCCACCCAAGTTCAAGCACAAGAAGGTACCTAGGGCATCTGGTTCACCGCCAGTGCCCGTTATGCATTCTCCTCCTCGTCCTCTTACAGTGAAGGATCAACAGGATTGGAAGATTCCACCTTGTATATCGAACTGGAAGAACCCTAAAGGTTACACAATCCCACTTGATAAGCGTCTTGCTGCTGATGGGAGCGGAGGATTTGATGAGGTTAAGATCAATGATAATTTCCCAAAACTTGCTGAGGCTCTGTATGTTGCAACTGAGAAAGCTACGGAAGCAATTGCAATGCGGTCAAAGGTTCACAGAGAGATTATTCTCAAAGAGAAGGAAAAGAAAGAGATGGAACTTCAGGAGTTGGCACGCAAGGCAAGAGCAGAGATAGCTGCAGGTCTTAAGAATGATGTGGATGATTATGAGGGTCGATTACGGAGAGAGAAGATAAGCAAGGAGCGACCTCAGGAGAGGAGATTGATGGAGGCAAAAGAGGGTGCAGCAATGAAGAGGAGAAAGATCAATACCAGAGATGGAGACCGTGATATCAGCGAAAAGGTGGCTCTTGGAATGGCTTCTACATCAAGATGTTGTGGAGAGACCATGATGTATGACCAGAGATTGTTCAACCAGGATAAAGGGATGGATTCTGGATTTGCAGATGATGATGCCTACAACCTATATGACAAAGCCCTATTTACTGCTCAGTCTACTCTGTACAGACCAAAAAAAGATGTTGATTCTGATACGTACGGAGAGCAGCAACAGGAGAAGATCACTCACTCTAAGCCTGACAATGCATTTGCTGGAACTTCTGAGAGGACTGGTCCTAGAGATAGACCTGTGGAATTTGAGGCTGATCCATTTGGTTTGGACCAGTTTTGGACAGGTGTGAAGAACAATATGGCAAATAATGGTAATTGAGGCACCATGAAAGCAGTGACGCGAGATGGCTATGAAACATCTAGAAGAACTTGTATTGCTTTGGAGAAGGGCGTTGACGACATCCTGGTTGGCTTGCACAATGTAATTTGTTTCTTCTTTTTCTTTGATGCATTTGAACAATGTCATTTCTCTTTTATATGTCTATCAAATAATAAAACTTTCCACTAAAGCTGTCTCAAGCTTTACTCAATGTGCATCCGTCCCTGCCAATAGAAAACCTCAGGTTTCTTACCAAACTTGAGGAAATTAATGAGAATTTCTGATGATTCTCCCCAAATCAATGAAAAATCTGACTAAAACAAGTATGGCAGCAAAAATCAATAAAAATGAAAATAAAAAAATAATGTCTGGAGAAATCCATACAAGATAATGAAGTTCAAGAAGAAAGAGTGAGGAGAAAGGTAATCAAAAAGTCAAATGTTTACTGTGGTCTTCGTATATTCGACTTAGATTAGGTGAAAACAGGGGGGAATGGAAACGAATTGAGGGTCCAAATAGGATTTATATTGAATTAAAATATGGATACAAGTTGGGTCTTTGCAATGTTCTTTCATCACAACAGATGAGCACTGAAGATACCTGGACACAGCTACCTATTAGTTTTCAAGCTACAGCCGACCTCACGTGTTGTTTGTGGAGCACACAATAGTACCACGAATCTATTCTAGAGGCACTACTAAAAGAAACTCAAACTTACTGTACATTTTACACCTCAGAAGTCTCTTCTTTAGTGATTCGTCCAAGAGGATTGATAGCTAAGTTCTCTACTGTATGCTTCTATCTGATACATGAAGCAAAATGAATTAGTGTTTAATGTAACAGATAGACATGAAATAGAGAGTATTAGTCTATACTCACTGTGAATTCCGATATTCCAATTCAGTCCGGTTCATCTGGTCAAATCTTCTGGCAAAATTCGGTAATCGTCTATTGGTTTAGTTTGATACTTCTGCTGAAGCATCAAGATCATCGTTCTTCAGGTTGTAGAGCTTACATTATAACTTACGTACTGCATAGAACAGAACACCAAGCACTTGAGGATTTCAATAACATGAAATTCATTTCATTTTCTGTTCCTTTTCAGGGTATCCATGTTTTTCCATTGTTTTCTTCTTCATGACAAAATAATCTTTTCAATGTGGTAACTGTAATCAGGCCGTTCTAGTTAATTTATTGTAATTCACTCAACATCATACAAGCGTTCCGACATTGTTCAGAATCTAAACGAAATTATAACATAAGTACTAAACTTGTAGAAAAACATACCTAAAGCTGGAAACAAGATTGAATTATGTTGATAGTTTTTTTATGTAAGATTAGAATGATGCTCGACACATCCTGTGAACTTTTTTCAATATTCACCTGTAATCTTTTTGTATGTAGCTACAGCACCTCCTTAGTGCTCTGATTTTAACATCAAAAACACTACCCACTTCAAAAAAAAAAAGTTGGGAGCGGAATCTTTTGTTGCTAATATTGTCGTTTCAACCCAAAGCAAATTTACTCTGGATTGATCTGTGATATATTGAAATATGGGCTAAAGTAATGTCTTCTTTTGGTAAGATAGGCTAGATAAATATTCACCGTAAAATGGTGGACAAGCTAAAAGACCTTTAGCTACACCTTTTGACATTTTACCGTCTTTGTTATCCAGAAGATACTTCATTTGTCACTCCGTCAAAGCTGAAGAATTAAAAATGGAACAAATAAGGAAGTAAAGAAGAAACTCACAAAATGCTTTCTTCAGGCAATTTCAACCAATGGAATGAGATCTATTTTGCGAATTAAGATTCCTACTGTCTTTCAGCGAAGTGAGGAAGTTGGATAAAACAAGTGAGTCATTACGCGCATCCCTCTCATTAAGCCATTGCTCCTCAATATGGATACTGACATCCCTTTTAGTGTCATTCCATTAACAATAGTTAGAATTAGGAAGCTATGAAAGGGCTTGGATACTAAATAACTCTCTTGCTGTTACAGAAAAGAAAGAAAAATGAAAATGTTACCTCTTCAGAGAGAGAACTTCATAATTTCTGCGCAGATAATCAGCATACTTGATAAGGGCATCTTGTGCATACTGCCTCCCTACTGATCTTACTGAAGCAGCATTAAGTAAATTCTCCAGTGTGCCGTGCTTTTTCAAAAGCTTCAAAGCAGTCTTTCGACCAAAACCAGGAACAACATGCTGGATTCCAGGAACACCATCAACCTCATCACCCAGTATGCACCCTTCTCCAGAAAACCACAAAATTTAGCAGCCAACATAATAACAGCAGACACTCGAGAACAAAACTGATGATTAGATGATTCTAACAGCATCGACACTGAAGCATCCAAAATCCACCCATCCCCTACAGTAGCTAGCCCATATTGGCTAGAGCCCAGAAGTGCACACATGGGAAAATGCTAAAACCTTATAAGAAGAACAGGATAGCATGAAACACACGAAGCTATATGGAAACAAAAGAGGCTTTTGTTCTTCCTTTTACCAAGTGCCGCCTGCACTTTCTTCATAATGCTACCTAAGCAGCTCGGACTTGGGTGCGGATGTCCGATACAGGTGCGGATTTAGAGGTCAGATCCTTCATGATCTACATTTTAAGATTCGGGGGTACAGATAGGGGTGCGGGGATTCGGCTAAAAATAATTCAACTATCAAAAAATAGAGTTGCATGTCTAAATTATGAGACATTATGTGGTAAATTTAAAAGGTATACTGAGGAGAGAATATTGATCAAGAGGAGATTTACAGAAGGTGGTATAAGGAAAAGTTGACATAGAAATTTATGTATACAAGGTACTTTATTTTTTTCAATTTCACGTTAGCTTTTGTTTTGATTACAGAAATCATTGTATTTGTCCTGAATTTCACAGTCAATTTTGGTCAAAGTACCCAAAACTGGTTGACCGCATCCGGTACGATAAAAAAGAAGAATAATGAGTTATAGATGTATTGAACGTATGTTCATATCAATGGAAGATCTTCTCAAAAATATTTGGTATAAAAAAATATTTAGTAGATGTAGTAAAAATTAGAAGAAAAAAAGATATCTTACCCAAGATTAAATTCCCACACTGACCTTCAATTTTACCTCTCTTCCTGGAAAGAACCACTCCCTACTTTTGCCTCTCTCAATTTTCATATCCCAATCAGCTAAACGTCGGTCACAAACTATCAGGGGTTGGTTATATGAATCCTCTATATTTGGTCTGCTCTATTCAGGACCACTTCATTTCACTACACCATAATTGACCTTTTAATATAAACGGGGATCTCTTAAACTACAGTCCTCTAAATCTCACCCAAATCCTGCCTAACAAGGAAGTAGAATAATGACTTTTAATTTGCAGCTATGAATAAGATATTATTAGCTTCAACAAGTACATGAACTAGTAACTTAGGATAAAACTACACCTAAAAGGAGTGTGACATACTTACTCAGGCTCAAATCAGACCTTGGATCACAATTGTACTGTGCCACATAGTGTTTTAGGGTGTAAAAGGACCATCTATTGAACTCTGGTACTGGCATGACAATTTGAACATCATCAGATATCAGCTGTTTGAAGTCTTTGTCAGGAGAGGCAACGACAACTCGGTGCCCCCTTTGTATAACCTGTTCTACAAGTGTGGCTATAACATCATCTGCTTCATGTGATTCAATCTTAACTACCTGCATACTACACTTAGTCAAAAGCCCTTCTCACCATGCTAACAAGATTGTGTAACGCAAAAAAATATATGACCAACACATAGAAGAAAGCTTCCAAACAATACTGTGTAGTGCAAAAAATAATATTCTGAGCAAGAATGTCCAGCCCAAAAATATAAACAAGTCTGCAATTATAACGTATGTTGCTCGGACTCTCCAAAACTGATGTCACACCTGTGCCGGATCCTCCAAAATGCACTGTTTTTGGAAGATCCGACATGAACCCAGCAACATTTCTAAAGAGTCTGAGCAACATAGATTATAAATACAACAATCATTGTCAAACCAGAGGCAGGAGATGCACAAGGTAGCAGGAAAATACTAAGATAAAAAATATCATAAGGGGAGTACTGGATTTGTAGGCCACCGATTGTAATTTATTATTTCTCGTTGATAATAAGTTCTGTATATGTTCCCACCCAAACTTAAAGCTGAAATGACATTAATAGGCCTCAGAAACTGTTCTCTTGAGAGAAAACTAGCTGGTATTATTTGTTCCATTCAACGTTCATGGATTTATTTATTTGGTCCAAGATTTGTTCTTTCTCCATTCAACTTTTGCTATATATGAATCTCCAGTATTGTTGCTCGACACATTTCACCATAAGCAACTCACATTTCGGAAACAAATTTCTTTCTGACAAGAAGGAAAAATTAAATCTATATCATGGTTCATGCTTCTTAGTATCTCTAGTTAGAAATAACATTGTAGTTAATATCAGTAAATTACACCGTCGATGCACAAAAAAAATAGAAAGCCTTTCTCAAATTGTTAGTAAAGATAACCGTCAACTTCAGACTACTAAAGTAACCAGATTCCAAGGATGCATCAATAAACCAAAACTACAAGTATTGATGAAGAAATTGTTCACTCACAGGAACATTGCAGTTCTGAAGGACATCCAAGATGAGCCTATGTGACCTTTCAATCGTACTCCTTGGAGATTTTACTGCACCTTGCAACTGATGCCAGTATTTCCTCCTACTTGCTTTATAGGAAGGTAACAACTGTCGTCGATACTCATTACCTCTTTCTCCATCAATAACCTGTAAAACAATCACCCAGTTCAAACAATATGTAGTTCATGATGCTTTCATATAACATCTACACCTTCCAAGCAAGGTCCTAGCTAGAGTATCCGGTTTTCATTCAGACGAACTCAGTAGCTTTTTCTTGGACTTTGTATTTGTATTGAAAAAAATTACTATTAAACATGTACAAATACTTTAAGTACAATAAGGTGAATCAACAAGTAAGATTATATTTATAGAGTATACCACCCCTAACACTTCAATTCTTTTCTTTCTCATTTCTTAGCTCAACAAACAGAGTAATACACAGAGAGGAAGCTTACAGCAATAACAGGATCAGTGAGGCTAACTTGAGAGAAGAAAAGGGAAATCCAATGAGCAAAAGATTGCAAAGAAGGAATGCTTCCTTTGTAACAAATAGGATTAACATCCAAGAAAAAAACCCTCTTTTTTCTTGAATTCTTGTAATGGGTATCTCTACTTTTCCCAAAAGGTTCATTCCCTTGTTGCAAAATTGGGTCTTGCATAACAGGATGGCTATGAGAAGAAGAACAAAAAAGAGGGCTTAGTTTTAGCAAATTTCTTTGCTGTTTCAATGGGGAAACAAGAACTGGGTGGTGGGTAGAGTTTGGAATTGGGTGGAAATGGCGAGGTGTGATAGTAAATGGTGGAAATTGCTGAATCTCCATGGTTGCTAATTGCTAAACCTCTAATGGAGTTCTTCTACCTATCTCATCTAGTCTTTAAGGTTCTAATGGAAACTTTAGGGATTGAAAATAGTGAAAATTATAGTTGATGTCTATAACCATAATAATCCTTACTTTAGGGACCAAAGATGTAATTAGGATAATAAAGTAAATTGGGAGAAAATGATCAAAATGGAGTATTACAGGTATATATTTGGTACGGAAGAAAATAATATTTTTCGATTTTCTCATATTTAATTGATAAATCTTTGACAAATATTCTTTTTAAAAATGACGAAATGATTTTTCTAATGAAATGGTATGTATGCACAATTGAAACGTGGGAGAGGGGAAGGGAGAAGAATGATCCAAAAAATGAATCGTTCATATATAATGGATAAACAAGTTTCGTAAATCACATTTTAAGTTTAGTGTCTCATTTTCATTAACATGAGATCTTTTTCCTTCTGAAAATAAGTCCATCAATTTATGTCAACAACTCACACGGTTCCTTTTTACATATTTCGTGTAATTGATTTAAAAAATGATTATTTATTTAATAATAAGGATAAAAAAATAAATTCTTCTAATTTGTCAAAATGGACGAAGAAAATTATTTTCAGTATTAGAGGGTGTATTATATTTTTAAAAACATTCAAAATTAAAATAATAATTTTAACTAGGCATAAGCTAAATAAGTCATATCCATAAGTAAAGTAATGACAAGTAGCTCAACTTTTTGGCAATTCACAAACTTCATGTGGCTTTGCGACTTCAAATTTCGTTTATCTTAATTTATATGTTATACACTTTCTTATTAATTAATCTATTTTGACAAAAAAAAAAAAGTGTATATCTCTCTTTTTAAAATGGTTTAACATGAATCATCATTTTCCTCTACATAAATGTCATTGATAACAATAACAAATAATAGTAATTGTGATGAAAATCATTACAATAACAATATGTCATCGATAACAATAACAAACAATAGTAATTGTGATGAAAATCATTACAATAACAATAACAATCCAATTAATCAAGACGACGTAGAAGGTATTCAACTTCGACAAGTTTAGTCAAAGGCATTACCCATTCATCATATAAACGCGAAACTAATAATGGATCAATTTTTCCCTTCATTTCTTCAACGCTATCGTTTAAGGTCACTTCTTGACCAAACACTTTAGCTTTCTTCGCTACTCTCTTCTTTACCATCTCTTCAACCGCTTCAAATGTTAATAACTTCATTAAAGCATCCCTATCCTACAACAATAACGATACATTAAAGATAATTAATATTACTGTGCGAACTGCGAATGAGTACACTAGTTAATCGTAAGTAATGAGATACCTGAGCAAGAATAAAGGGTTTATATTCATCAGTGCTATCTCTGAATTTAACTTCAGCAACAAACTTTCCATAGTGAATCCTTCTAGATAGTGCCTTCAACAACAAAAGAAAAAATCAATAAAAAAATCACATCAGCTTATAAATATTGAAGAAAAAAATTCAATGTTTATCCAACTTTAAATTTTATTTTATTTTATTTTCATTTTCCTAGTTCACTGGACTTCAACTAGTAAAGTTAAATTATTTATTTTTGAAATAATTGTAAAAAAAATATTAAAAGGTATAACATGAAGTGTCAGGTCATGTTATTTATAATGTCGAATAGGCTTTAATTAGAAATGATAAAAACAAGGGCAAAGGGTCTGAAAAATACTTTAATTTTAACCGAAATTACTGTTACGATATCAAACTTTATGGAGGATCTTTTACCCCTGTATTATTTAATAGTGTATTTTAAAAGTGTATATGTGTCCACGTGAACGCACTACTATTTATGATGATGTTATATTTATGATGTCTACGTGGGCACATATATACCTTTAAAATACACTATTAAATAGTGTGGGGGGTAAAAGGTCCTTTCCAAAGTTCAGTATTATTACAACAATTTCAGTCAAAGTTTAAATATATTTCAGACTTTTTTCCCTAAAAATAATGAGTTGCTCATTCTAACATGTGTTGAAGTCGCATCTTTTTTATTTTAGAATAAGCTGCAAGTTGCTAAAAAAAATCAGAGATAAAAAAACATATAGCTTAATTGGAGAATGCAGAGAACTTTATTCTTTATGTTTGCCTAGCTGGATCAAATTTTATATTGTGTTAAGTGTGGGTTTTTTATATTTTTTATTTTGAAATTGAGATTTTAAGACACAAATTCAAATTAGTTCAGCTTTAAAATAAATAGTAAACATTGAATGAAGAATCATAAAATAAAATAAAAATATTCATATTTTGTATTTACAATAAACTAATGAGTGAATGTGAGGCACGTGGTCTCTCGTACGATTGAGTAATATGTATATTCACTTTTATAAAATTAAATTGCTTGATATGATAAAAATATCGAATGCAAATAAGTATTTACCTGCAATAATTGAATGTCACAAGCAGCAGTAGTTGCAAAATTTGCATCATCATCAGCCTCAGTACAAAATAGTGGAAGCATTTGATTTATATAAATATCCAATATCTTCTCATTTACATTTACTGATTCTGCTGCGGGATGCAAAACCTATATAATATTAGTCAAATTAATTAGTGTTAATTATGATAATTTTAAAATCCTAATTAAAAACACAACATAATTTACTTATTTTTAAGAAAATTACATTAATAATCTAATAAATAGATACTTACTGGTGTGCATTTGGTAAGTGGTATGATTGAGTCAGACAAATTATCTGGAAAGAAAGGATTTTCCTCTGGGGATAAGTATCTACCAACCTGTTATATAATAAAATCAATTAAATTAAAGGAATTTAATTTTTCTTTGGGATAAAGCTCTCCATATCCAAATCCAAAATTTTTAATTAAATATTTATTATTTTATCATAATCTTTGATGATAAATATTTCCTTTTCAAACTTATTAAAGAAACGTGCAACAATCGTTGAAAGTAGGATCCTAATAGTTTAGTTGATTTCTAAAATAATCTCTTAATCAATAGTTATTATCTGAGATAGACGCTTTCTTTCTCTCCTTTTTTCAAAGAAATGGAGTAAAAAAAAATTTTGATTTTTTGAGATAATAATTAGTAATCGAGTAAATATCTAAAAATCAATTTGATATTTTCCTAATTTAAGAGATCATTTTAGAAAATTGTGAGGAAAGTACCACTATCCTGATATTAAGTAAATGAAGAAATTAAAAAAAAATCAATAAATGAATATGTGATTTAGATGCACGTCATAATTTAATTTAAGTGTCAGATTTAAGAAAGGAGGAACAAATATAGAATGAAAAAATAGAAAAAAGATAAATAAATCATGGTCAACCAAAACTAAAATAGCAAGCAAGTAAACAAAGGAATCTAATAAGTTCCGAAAAATAAGGAAAACCTACCAAAAGAGTACAAAGATAAAGACAGACACCATTAACATTTCCAAGAACTCCAACAACGTCCGACCGAATCTAATAACTTTTATTTAAATTATATGTTTGTGTTGAGAAAATTCATTAAATCTATATACGTATCAAATTAAAACCTAATTATTAACACTTAAATATATCATTTTAAAAATTTTAAATTCATAAAGTTAAAATTCTGATTACGCTTCTGAAAAAACAAACTACCATTCAACATTTGATCAAAAACAGAGGCGGAATACATCGACAATCCATTAAATCATATGTACAAACACAAGAAGAGAAATTGTTACCTTAGATTGAAGAGCTTCTGTTTCTTGAAACAAGTATTGAAAAAAGGATCCTGAAATATTTGAAGGAGGTAATTGTTGTTTGTATAAAGTTGGATTTATTGGGAATTTGATTCTTTCAATAAGGTTGAAAATGATGGTATCTTCTTGTCTAATTAAACTATCTCTTATTGAATCAAGACTCAATTTACCATCATCACCACAAGCCATTTTTTTTACTTTTTTTGATTGAAAAAAATTCTGAAAAATATTTTATGTGGGGAGAGGAAGAAAGAAAAAATGAGAAGAAAGAATTTATGTTATCTGTTTTTGGTTGGTTGGTTGGTTAAGTTTGGACTATATATTGAAGAGGTTTTTATGTTTTTAGTCCCTATATTTTAGGTTCATTAAAGGTTATGGTCCTACTATTATACGTTTACGTAAAAAAGGTTATGATAGTTGTTTAGATTGGTCTCGATTCCTCAAGTTGAGCTATAATAGTAGTTGAAGAATCTCTTGTTCCGAGTGGGTTTAAAGCCATGATTTTACTAAAGAATTCTTGTCATCTCGAAGAAAATCTAATGTGAAGCTCGGGCTAGCGAACATGAATAAGGGATGTCTTCCTTTTTTTTCTTGATTTAGGTGACATAGTCTTATCCTATGAATGATAATGATGCATGATATGTGTTTGCACTTAGAATTCTTTCATTTTATTATATGTAAATTATAATTATACAAATTGACAACTTTACATTTTGTTTCTTACTTTTGATTTCCTTAATCATGTCCAATCTTTCTATTCAATATCTAAATTCATTGATTTCTCTTGCAAGTTTGATGAGATCTTTGTGAGAACTGAAAAAATGTAATGACTTAAGAAAATAACGTATGTAATTATGATCTTCTCAAGAACAATATTATCATATTTTATTTAGTTTCTTATAATTCAAGTTTTATTTTTTAAACTAAGAAATCAATAATTGAATTAAGACTAAAAATTTGAATATTTAATTTTCTATTTTGAAACCCTTCCATCTTTATCCTTTTTGAAACAAAAGAAGTATGTTATAATTTTGTAAAGCCAAAATTAGACTTTAATCATAATTCAAGTGCTAAAAGTGCAATTTACTTAACCAAACAAATTAAGTCTATGTGAAGGTCTAGAAATGTCATGTGCACACTTGGAGCGTAGTGCGCACGATTTGCTTATTGCGCAGACAAAATCATTTTTGTTAAAAAATATTTTATGTATATTCAAATTTAATCAAACTTTTTTATAAATATAAAATATCGAATCAAATATTTTTTTAAAAAAACTTGCTCACTACGTAAGAAG